GACACATCCGGACTCACGGACACATCCGGACTCACGGACACAGCTGGACTCACGGACACAGCCGGACACACGGACACAGCCGGACTCACGGACACCCAGAGCCAGGACCAAGCACCGGGAACAGAGAGCGAACAGAAGGGGCTGGAGATGGACTGGGACAGGAACGGGGTAAAAAACAACACCCGGGACAGGAACGGGATAAAAACAACAACCGGGACAGGAACGGGGTAAAAAACAACAACCGGGACAGGAACGGGATAAAAACAACAACCGGGACAGGAACGGGGTAAAAACAACAACCAGGACAGGAACGGGATAAAAACAACACCCGGGACAGGAACGGGATAAAAAACAACACCCAGGACAGGAACGGGGTAAAAACAACAACCGGGACAGGAACGGGGTAAAAAACAACAACCGGGACAGGAATGGGGTAAAAAACAACACCCGGGACAGGAACGGGATAAAACACCTGGGACGGGAGCAGGATAACAACAACTGGGACAGGGAGGGGATAAAACGACAACTGGGACAGGAACGGGGTAAAAAACAACACCTGGGACAGGAACGGGATAAAAAACAACAACCGGGACAGGAACGGGATAAAAACAACAACCAGGACAGGAACGGGGTAAAACACCCGGGACAGGAATGGGATAAAAACAACAACCAGGACAGGAACGGGGTAAAAAACAACCAGGAAATTCACGGGATAACAACAACCAGGACAGGCACAGGATAACAACAACCGGTACAGGGATGGGATAACAACAACTGGGACATTGATGAGATAAAATATAACCAGGATAAGAATGGGATAACAACAACCGGGACAGGGATGTGATAAAACAACAACCGGGAAATTGACACAACAACAGCCGGGACAGGGACAGGATAAAAAATAACCGGGACAGGAACAGGATAAAACAACAACCAGGTCAGGAATGGGATAACAACAACCGGGACAAGGATGAGATAAAACAACCAGGAAATGGACAGGATAACAACAACCAGGAAATAACCGGGTAACAACAACCGGGACAGGAAGAGGATAAAACAACAACCAGGTCAGGAATAGGATAGCAACAACCAAAACAGGAATGGGATAAAACAACCGGGACAGGGACAAGGTAACAACAACTGGGACAGGGATGGGATAACAACAACTGGGAAATTTACAGGATAACAACAACCACAAAACTGATGGGATAACAACAACCAGGACGGGAACGGGATAAAACAACAACCGGGACAGGGATGGGATAACAACAACCGAGAAACTGACAGGATAACAACAACCGGGACAGGCACAGGATAATAACAACCAGGACAGGGATGGGATAACAACAACCAGGACAGGCACAGGATAATAACAACCGGGACAGGGACAGGATAACAACAAGTGGAACAGGAATGGGATAATAACAATCGGGACAGGGACGGGATAAAGCAACAACCAGGAAATTGATGGGATAGCAACAACTGGGACA